AAAGTCTATCAAGAAAAAATTACTTAATTCGTGGACAAAATTTCGTTCTTGAATACAGAAAAATTTGCTTCAGGGAAGAAATATTTTCTGACTGTAAGAAAAAACAAGAATGCTAGAAATGTCATTTTTGGTAGTGTGGGCATTTCCATTTTAGTGCCGTGTGTCATCACAGGGAGAATGTACTGGGTTTAAACGTTCTTCTCGTTTCTATCACTAGCCTTCGTGCTTCTCATTATGTTGTCCACTTTACCAAACACTTCCCATCGCAGTGTGATGCGTCTGTTGATCACTGGTAGGGGGCTTTCATCGTGTGTCACTTCTCTGCACACTTTTGTGCATCATTAAGAAAGCCACACACGCGCTCGCCCACATACGTACAGACATACAGACATACAAAACACACACACACACACATGCGCACTAACATATACATGTACAGATATATAGTATTACACGAACATGCATACATAGACATGCACAGAGAAAGAGAGAGAGAGAGAGAGAGAGAGAGAGAGAGATGCACACAAACACTGGCAAATACATACAAAAATGTTTGTAGAATGTATTGGGATGGGTAAAGTGGAACAAGTGTGTGGAATTACACATACCTTACAATGCTAAGGTTTATTAGACATACTTGGTTCATGTCATTAATTTTTCTTGAATGATTTTGGAAAAAACAGAACGATTAAAAAGCGATAAATCTTCACAGTAAAAAAAACATGTCACAGATGCTCCAGCCAGACACCAAGGTAGCCCACGCAATGATCTTTCTTTTTGTTACCTGTGACCTGAACGCCAACGCAATTATCACGCTGCATTCCTTCACATGGTAGTTGTGGTGTCCATCAGTGTCCTTAAAGTCAACACTATAAAAATCAGGGTGACTGTCTCCAATGAAATATTCTTGTGGTCTTAGACCCCCTGCTAGATTTTCTCCTAGTGTATATATCCTACTTGCCCTTTTGTTATATATCCTACTTGCCCTTTTAGACTACTACAGACTCCGACCGCGCAACCGTCGAGTTTAATACCACACGGTCATAACTGAAGAAACAAACAGCATTTGCAACATTTGGGAGAAGAATTTCTAATGAAGAATTCACTCGCATTGACAATTTTCGTAGACCCAACGCAAGAAACACGCTCATGAACCAAGACATATCAAGGCTGCGACAGTCCACCTAGCCTGGATGCCAGACCCAAAGCACACTGGACACAAAATATCCCAGTGTGCAAGGGTCTGGTAGAGTCTCTTAGGAAAGGCTCTCGAGCATAGGGAGGAGAAGCTGTGATTGATGACCCCTCACACCACAGGTAGCCTGTTACATGGTACCACCATTGGTCAGCAGGAGACAATCTTTGGCTCAACAGTTAATCATTAACCAGTCAATTCTCTAAATGTTTTTGGAGTTTATTTTCCAAAATAACAGCAGTACTTAGTCTAATAGTAGAAGTAGTGTACAGCCCAGGCTTTCCTGTTTGTTTAGGTAACAGTCCTCTGACATACCAGGACAAAATAACCTTATCTACAGTTTAATCTCATCTGCTGGTGGCCATTCAAAGATACAGCTGGGAGTTTTTACCAATCATAGCAGAGGTGTAAAATTGCTTCCTGCTGTTCCACCAATGGGGCCTTACGCTCAGATACTAAGCGTTCGAGTGGCAGGTCTATCTGACCCTACCAGACCCTTGCACACTGAGATATTTTGTGTCCAGTGTGCTTTGGGTCTGGCATCCAGGCTACAGTCTACCCTGAAAACTAGCTTCACTGGACCAGGTAACATGATGATGATAACAAAAACGCGTCGCTTAAAACCAATTCTGAATCTTGATGAGATAATGTAGATGATGAGAATTGTTCGCATATGCCTTAGGACGTCTCCTGTCATCTGATGAATTGGAAGGACTTGATTCCAGCCCCCATAGCATGCCAAAAACTGGGGGTTTTGAGGATCTTGAGGTATTTGGGGGCTTTTATGTGCTATTTCTTTATTGCATATAGACAACATAGCCGGCCGGGTTGAATTATCCCCGTTTTTGTTTAACAATTCTGTTCCTTATAGTTTCACTAATTGTCCTGCTGGTCCATTGTCTGAGGCTATCCTCTCATCTCTTCAGTTGCCTCCCATGTTTTGCCATCCCTGTCTTGTTTCTTCTATGAATATGAAAATATAACAGTATAAAAGTGGATGTCTGAGCCATGGGTGTATCGTTGTGATATGATGTACAGCCATACTATGAAAAGGTGAAAATGGTACATGCATCTCTACTGGCTGTTATTCCTATGCACTAACATCTGCCCTCTGACTCATTAGAAATAATACGTGGACAAATCTGACCCTTCATGCTACTAAGACAAGACAGACGCCATGTACAGTATTTACAGGTTCATTGTACCGAGGAAATTACCCTACGTGTTTTCGACAAGTACAAAATCAATGAATGAAAGACCTTTATTGTACGTATATGCTCTTACAAGCTAAGTACAGGCACTGAGGTCATGAATGAACAGGATTGATAAACAGTAGACCGGTGGGTGTAGCATCGCCTGTGTGTACGTGCGCCAGGGCACGTATACCCATAGGTACCTATTTGTCTGTCCCGGACGCCTTAGGGCTGCTGGTTTGAAAAAAAAAAAGTCTTTCTGATTCATTGATTCATCTTATAGTATTAGCCGGCTACTTGAGTGGATAGACTATTGAGGGTCACCTGAGGGCCAATGCAAGGATGTTGCTCTGTTTTTCTGTCAGTAGAAATATTGGAACCTAACTACTGGCTAATGAAAATACCGAAGGATAAGTGAAGAAACAATTTAAATTATTCCCTAGTAAAGATTTACGCTCCCCTCCCCCTCCTCGTACCCTGGGAGCGTTGTGTTGGGCTTCAAAAAAGTTTGCTGTAGTTCAAACTTTTCACAATTCCTTTTTTTAAGATTAGGCCTTGTAAAAGGGTTTTCAACTCCAATGTAATTTTTCTATTCAGTGGACGGATGGACCAATGGGGCTACTAGGAATCCATATTTTTATGTACTTGAATGTGTAGGTCTTTGTACACTAACACACACAAACACACACACAAACAAACATACACACACACTCACACAAACAAACACACACACACACACAAACACTCACACAAACACACACACACACACACACACACACACACAAACACACACAAATAGGACTGCCCTGTGCGGCTCCTCTACTCTCAAGTGTCCACGTGTTGTCCTGTAGCCTTGCTACATGTCCTGTCCAGACTACATGTTTTGTCTTGAGTCTAACACTCGCCTTTTTACTTCTTATTATGTTGTCCATTTTACCAAACGCTTCCCAACCCAGTGTGCATCTATTGATCTCAGGCAGGAGAATTCCATCGTGTGTCACTTTCTGCACACGTAGATGTAGCTAGCTGTTCATCCCACCGCTTTTATATCTGTCCCATTTACTAGTAGTACGTTACTGGTGATTTGTTTATATGTTTGTTATACATTATCTTACTGAGGCCTACTGAATTTGCCTACTGACCTACCTCCTATACTGAGGTCTACTGAATTGATACCAAGATGATACTATCCGTGAATGAGATATGTGAGTGGCATTCCCCATCAATGTTAATTTGTATCTTCAGCATTATGAGCTTTCGATGTTAAAATTCTAGTATCATGTGCGGAGTGAATGATTACATTTAACCATGCCATTCGTAGCATTACACAGAATACTTGTCAAGTTATTTACGGTAACGATACAGTGCCTTAGTACGAAGTATGTGGGGAGGGTTACAACTTCTCAAAGTAGAGGCCACATAATTCAAGCCCACAGTTTGGGAGTTTTTTTTCAGAAATGTGCTTGGATTTAGAATGACAGTTCTGGACCATGTAGACCCCAGTGTTGCACTAGACTGCCCCTCCATCTTGTACAGGGCCGTTGTCTGTCTCTCCTCCACTCTCTAGGTGTTCACTTAGCAGGCTCTAAGCGTCCACGTGTTGTGTTGTAGTCTCGCTACATGTCCTGCCCAGCGGTGCTAGGTCGTGTTGGCAGCATTGATGATGTCCGTTACTCCTGTCGGATCCAGAAGTTTCTTTTCCTGTCTCCGAGTGTTATGCCCAGCATGATCCTGTCCATCTTCCGCTGTGCAACCCTGAGCATTTCCATTTTAGTGCCGTAAGTCATCACAGGGAGAATGTACTGGGTTTAAACGTTCCTCTCGGGTCTATCACCAGCCTTCTTGCTCTTCATGACGTTGTCCACTTTACCAAACGCTTCCCATCGCAGTGTGATGCGTATGTTGATCACTGGTAGGGGGCTTTCATCGTGTGTCACTTTTCTGCACACTTTTGTGCATCATTAAGGAAGCCACACACACACACGCGCGCGCGCGAGCGCACACACACACACATGCACACTACCATATACAAATATATACACGGACATGTATACATAGACATGCACAGAGAGAGAGAGAGAGAGAGAGAGAGAGAGAGAGATGCACACAAACACTGGCAAATACATAAAAAAATGTTTGTAGAATGTATTGGGGATGGGTTGAGTGGAACAAGTGTGTGGAATTACACATACCTCACAATGCTAAGGTTTATCAGATATACTGGGTTCGTGTCATTAATTTTTCTTGAATGATTTTGAAAAAAAAACAGAACGATTAAAAAGCGATAAATCTTCACATTAAAAACAACATGTCACTGACGCTCCAGCCAGACACCAAGGCAGCCCACGCAATGATCTTTCTTTTTGTTACCTGCGACCTGAACGCCAACGCAATTATCACGCTGCATTCCTTCACATAAGAGTTGTGGTGTCCATCAGAGTCCTTAAAGTAAACACTATAAAAAAATTAGGGCGACTGGCCTCGATGATAAATCAGCCGGCCAGAGATGTTCTTGTGGTCAGTTAGACCCTCCATAGTCTGCCAAATTTCCTAAAAAATGTATTCA